ATGATGCCATCTGGCTGATCCATCTCGTTGGGGGTCTTCCTCTTTTTTCTCTGACTCTCCACCTTACCCAGCATGACATCCTTCTCCAGCGACTGTTCTCTCTGGACAATGTGTCCAAAGTAGGAGAGATGAAGCTTAGCCATCTTGGCCTCTCTCTCTATATGTATACCATATAATATATGGACTCCTGGTGTGGTACTGTAGGATTAGCACTGAACTTTGAACCACAAGGTCTGCTGTTCAAACCCACCAGCTGCTCCTCAGAACTCTGTACTGGGTCACTATGAGTCAGAACTCACTCAACAGCACTTAACAACATCTATGTGGATTAGAGTCTGAAGATATATATATATATATATATAGGCATGTATATGAGGGTGAGTAAAAATGTATTGCTACAAAATTATGGAAACTTTAGGAGTGTAAATAAAAAAGTATTGCTACCCCACCCAGAGATGGAGACAGAGAAGATGATGTGAAGAGATGGAGTGGCTAGGGACTTGAGATCTAGAGAAGGAAAGGGGCTGTGTGCTGGGGGTGGGGGTGGGCAGGCTTGCAGGGTATACCCTTTGGTTGGGTGATGATGCATGGATGGGATGGTAACTATGGCAATGAAACAATGTATGATAGAATGAATGTAAAACTAATGTTCCCCCATGTAAACTATCACACAATACACAATAAAACATTTATTAAAAAAAAAAAAAAAAGTATTGCTACTAGGATTCCAATTCATACATGCACAAGTTTATTCCAAACAACATATATTTGAACATGTGTCTGTGATCAGTGAATAACTGCAGACATGTTCTCTCTGTAATACACGGTCTTAGACTCTTTGTTGTTTCTTCAGTGCCTTCAAGACAGTTCTCACTAATAGCAACACTGTACACAGGGTTTCCGAGGAGCAGTTGATGGGTTTGAACTGCCGACCCTTTGGTTAGCAGTCCAGCACTAATCCTACAGTGCCACACCAGCACTCCTTAGTCTTCTTGTTTTTAGTGCCATCGAGTCGGTTCTGACTCATAGCGACCCTATATAGTTTCTGAGGAGCAGCTGATGGGTTTGAACTGAGAACCTTGTGGTCTAGTGCATGATCCTGCAGTGCCACTTGGTGGTGGTTATATGCCATGGAGTCGGTTCCGACTCATAGCGACCCTGTACAGGGTTTCTGAGGCTATAAATCTCTACGGGAGCAGAAAGCCTCATCTTTCTCCCAAGGAATAGCTGGTAGTTTCGAACTGCTGACCCTGAGGTTAGCAGTCCGATTCGTAACTACTATGCTACCAGAGCTCCTTGCAGCACCACTTAGGGTGCTTTAAAAAAAAAGAAAAAAAGTCCAATCAAAGCAGTGGTTTCTGAGGGGATCTGCTGGACGAGTCAAATTGAAAGTAGAAAGGTCAGCTCAGAAGGTTATGATGACTGCATTTTCGGAATCTAAAGCGGCAATCTAGATAGATTTTCTTGGAGGCCACAGGGTGGTCATGGAGGCCTATTAGGAAGGAGTTTTAAGAAAACTGAGAACTGCATTAGTGAGAAAAAGGCCAGGAAAATTGTGCCTAGGAACTTTTCTCCATTATAATAACGCATCTGCTCATTATTTGATGGTATTATGGGCTGTTTATGAGAATTTTGTTGGGAAACCTTATCCCATCCACCCTCCAACCTTTTACACTTCTTTTTGTTCCCTAGACTCAAAGAATATTTGAAAGAAATATAATTTCAGCCTTTCAAGGATGCCAAAACTATTGTTTTGATGTGGTTTAAATGGAGCTGCGAAGAATTCTTTGGGGGCAGGATTGCTCTTGTCGTTAAAAACGCCATCGAGTCTGTTCCAACTCATAGCAGCTTAGGTATTCCGAGGAGCAACTGGTGAGTTTTAACTGCTGACCTGTGGTTCAAACAACCTTTCAGTCCTGCACTTATCCTACAGCATCACACCAGGACTTGGGGCAGGGTTACAGAGATGAAAACATTGCATTTAAAAGTATACCAGCCTAAGTTGGAGAATATTTTTGGTGTGGCACTGTGAATTAATGCGCTGGACTGCAAGGTCAGTTTGAAGCACAAGGTCGGCGGTTCAAGCTCACCAGTCATTCCTGGGAAACCCTATATGGGCCACTATGAGTTGGAATTGACTTGACAGCACTTAACAACAAGAAAAGAGGAGATTTCAGGAAACAGTAGCTTCACATTTTGATATTTTTTTAAATAAAGCTTTGTATGATTTTGTATAATACTTTTTGAGATAACCTTGTACAATTCAATGACAGGTTGTGAAACCATCAGTACGGTCTGTTTCCAAACTATTTCACCACTAGTAACAAAGACTCAGAACCCTGTTAGTAACCACTCCCTCTCTCCCCCTCCCTCCTGTAACCACTAATGAGGTTTGGGATCTTTACATTGGACTCGTCTATACATTTCATGTAAGTGTATCCAAACTGGAAGTAATGTAAATGTTCATCTAGGGTAGAATGGATACATTGGGATCTGGTCCCACAATGGAGTATTATACAGCAATGGGAACAAAGTACTGAACAATTCCACTCTGATGAATCATAAACCCAGTGATGAGCAAAGCATAATACCATAACTCAAACTCCAAACCAAAACAAAATAAGACAATTAAGATGTGTCAGTGTATGACTATATTTATGTAAAGTTCAAAAGGAGGCAAAACCATGGATAACAAGTTGGTATAATGATTGGAAGACTCTAGGGGGATTCTGGGAATTGGTCATGTTCTAGTTCTATTTTTATTATTGTTGAGGTAAAATTCACACATTAATTTAATGTGTTGTGTTTCTGGAGCAGGTTACATTGGTGTATTCTATTGTAAAAATTCATCCAGCAATATCTTCTTGTGTGCTTATATCTCAATCAATGTTTACTTGTAAAAAAGAAGTGGGTAGATGTTGTTCTGAGAAATATGTGAGTCAGCATGAGAGTTACCAGAATGCCAGGAGCCAGACGGGTAGGGTGATTCGAGTGCCAGCCAGCCCCTCTCACTTCATGTGTGACCCCAGGCAAGTCACTTCCTCTCTCTGAGCCTTGGTTTCCTTATTTATACAACAGGATGAGAATATCAGTTTCGAAAGGTTCATATTTTGAGCCTTTGCTTATTCAACAAGTGCTTCCTGAAGACCTACAATATGTTGTGGGCTGTAGAAGCAAAGGGAGCTAAACAAACTTGAACTCAGAGGCCAACATGGGACACAGATTTCAAAGGCAAACACGGCACATTTCTAGCTGGACTGAAGGAGGGTTAAGCAGAGTGATGGTGGTTATATGCCATGGAGTCAGAACAGACTCATAGGACCCTGTACAGGGTTTTCAAGGCTGTAAATCTTTACGGGAGCAGAACCCCTCATCTTTCTCCCACGGAACAGCTGGTAGCTTTGAACTGCTGACCTTAAGATTCGCAGCCCGATTGGTAACCACTACGCTACCAGAGCTCCTTAAGCAGAGTGATATTCTTCAAAAATCAGGGAAGACTCTTTGAGGAGGTGCCATTAACAACCTGAAAACAAGGAACTGGCTATGGGCTACGGGCTACGGGAAGAATGTGCTAAGTAGATGGAGCAGTTTGTGCAGACACAATGCCTAGAATCCTTGGTATCAGGATAGAGAGATCACAAGACACTCTGCTGCTCAGTTGGGTCTCACATGTAGAAACGTTCTTGATTTTGTTTAATGCTCTGTTATTGCTGTCTTGAGGTCCCTTGTTGTTGTTGTTGGTGCTGTTGGGTTGGTACCGACTCACAGCGACTTTATGCACAACAGAGGGGAACACTGCACCAACGTCACAAGTCACAATCGGTTACTACACTTGAACCCATTGCTGCTGCCACTCTACCAATCCATCTCATTGGGGATCTTCCTCGCCTTCGCTGACCCTCCACTTTACCAAGAATGATATTCTTCTCCAGGAAGGATATTCTTCTCCTTATAATATGTCCGAAGTGTAAGAGACAAAGTCTGATCATCCTGGCTTCCAGAGAGCATTCTGGCTGTACTTCTTCCATTTATTCATTCTTTTGGCAGTACTTTTATTATTCTCCGCTAACACCATAACTGAAATGCATCGATTCTGCTTTATTCATTGTCAAGCTTTCACATGTATATGAGGTTATTGAAAACACCATGGCTTGCGTCAGGTGCACCTTAGTTCTCAAATTGACATCTTTGCTCTTCAACACTTTAAAGAGTTAAAGAGGTCTTGTGCAGCAGATTTGCCTAAAGCAATATGTCATTTGATTTCTTGACTGCTGCTTCCATGAGTGCTGCTGGTTGATCTGAGCAAAATGATGTCTTTGACAGCTTCCATCTTTTCTCCATTTATCTTGATGTTGTTTACTGGTCCAGTGGTGAGAATTTTTTTTCTCCCTCTATATTGAGATGCAACCAATACCGAAGGCTGTCATCTTGATCTTCATTGGTAAATATTTTAAGTTCTCTTCACATTTAGCAAGCAAGACTATCTTATCTGCATATCATAGGTTGTTAATGAGTCTTCCTACAATTCTGATGCCCTGTTCCTCTTTATAGAAACCTACTTCTTGGATTATTTATTCAGCATACATATTGAATAAGTATGGTGAACAAATACCTTGGCGCACACCTTTCCTAATTTTAAACCATTCAGTGTTCCCTTGTGTTAGAACAACTGCCTCTTGGTCTATGTACAGGTTCTTCATGAGCACAATTAAGTGTTTAGGAATATTTATTCTCCACAATGTTGTCCATAGCTTGATCCACACATTTGAAAGCCTTTGTGTAGTCAATGAAGCACAGATAAACATCTTTTTGGTATTCTCTGCTTTCAGCCAAGATCCATCTGACATCATCAATTATATCAACCAATCCATGTCCTCATCTGTGTCCGGCTTGAACCTCTGTCAGTTTCCTGTCAATGTACTGCTGCATAGATCCCTAGGGAGCACAAACACGTTGCACTTGGCTGCTATCTGAAAGCAGAGTCCCTGTGTGGCCCAGATGGTTATGCACTCAATTACGAACTGAAAGGATGGCTTAAATCCACCCAAATGAGCTTGGAATAAAGGCCTGATGATTTGCTTCCAAAAGGCCAGTTTGGAAATCCCTATGAAGCACAGTTTTACTCTATACGTATGGAGGTCTTGAAACTCCAATGAAGCACAGTTCAACTTTACATATATGGGATCTTGAAAACCTATGGAGCACAGTTCTACTCTACACTTACAGGGTCATCATGAGTCTGAATCAATGACTTTTATTTTTGGTTTGGTTGTTGTCTTGTAATCTTTAAATTTTGAACAAAGGGCCCATGTTTTTATTTTGCATGCCCCCCAAATTATGTAGCCGGCCTTAAGGAGAGGGGTCTTTAGTAAGAGCCCAAACCTCTTATGCCACCCTCTGCATACACTCCAGCAGAGTCTCTTAGTGCATCTCCTCAGATGTCTCTCTTTAGTTTTTACCACTTCTCAACACACGGTCCCCCTTCCTGCATCTTTGCCTGAGAGTTTTCTCTGGCAGCTGGAGCCCACACTGCCCATTATGGATTGAATTGTATCCGCTCCCCCCAAATATGTGTCGAATCTGACCCTTGTACCTGTGGATATGACCTGGTTTGGAAAGAGTGTTTTCTTTTGTTATGTTAATGACTCTGTATCTGAATAGTGTGGATCCTAAACCTAATCACTTCTGAATTAGAAGTAGATCAGGATAAACACTGAGACCCACGCATGGGGAAGACAGATGCCATATGAGGCTCCTCTACAAGCCAAACAGCACCGAGGAACCAAGGATTACCAGAGGTTACCAACACGGCAGGAATCTATATCACCAAGACCTTGATTTGGATTTTTAGCTGAAAAATGGTGAGAAAATAGACTTATGTTCTTTAAAGCCACCCAACGTGTAGTCTTTGTGTTACAGCAACACTGGGAACAGACACACTGCCCATGCGACAAACTGTTAGCAAATGTACCCCGTCTTGAAATTGACATTAGTTGGTGGATCCCTTGCCCCTAGGTGGGAAGACTCTTGGGTGTCTGCTCCATGATGTCTCCCTGAGGTCCTCGGTGGGATTGAGTCTCAGTTGCCCTCAGTGAGAACTTGTTTGCTAGCACAACCTGTACCGGCTTCCCGCCTTCCCTGTCTCACTTCCCTATTGCTCTAGTGACATTTCCTAGGCTCACCTCCCAAATAAACTACCCACACTGGAACTCTTGTCTTAGGATCTGTGTTTAGGAATCACAGTGTAAGACTATGCTTTCCAGCCCACACAGTATGTACACATGGCTCTTTCCACGGTTTCTTTATTGGGAATCTTCAGCTGGTAAGATTAGGGGTGGCTCCTTCCTGGACCTCCAAGAGGTCCTCCTAACAGTTCTTGACTTCACATCCTAGAAAAGAAATGCGAGTGTGAGACTTGGGGGAATGGGAGGTCAGTATGTCCTTCTCAGGGACTCAAGGTGAGGGGGTGGGTATGAAGCTCACTGCAAGTGACCAAGGATGGATTGAGAGCTTAATGAAAGGTGTGCCAGTGTACAGGTAGCCTGAGATTGTACAGGGAGGCTAGGTCCAGGTGTGATTACAGAAGAGGTTTGGCGGTTGTGAGGCTGAGACTGTGCCGGCCGTGCTAGCTTCTCCTGCATAAGAATTACCTTCTGGAGACAGGGAACAAGGGGCTCTGCAAGTGTCTTAGGGGCTGAGATTGTTTAGGCAGAGGCCCCGCTCCTTCTCTCTGGCCGCGTCTCTTGCGGTAGTTCCCTCCCTCAAGTCCAGTCTTAAGGAATAGGCAGAGATTGAACAAAGAGGTTTTCTGTGGGGCTCAGGGACTGGGCCAATGTGACGCATTAGAAGGACTTTGGCGGGGAGGCAGAGGAGGAACCAGGCTGATGTTACATGGACTGAGATAAGGTTATAGGGTAGAAGACCTGGGCATAGATCATGCAATCCAGGCTGAGGTGTGGGCAGAGGGGTCCCTGCTCTGACCGGATGGGGAAAAAATGTTAGAGTCAGAACAACAGAAAAGTAGTTGGGTTAGGAGTTCACAAATGGGGGGTTCTATGGACAGACGCAGGCTGAAGCGTTGCAGGCCAAGGTCAGGGGGCAGTTGCAGGACTGAAAACTGGGGTGAGGTTGCCTGTATAAAGGGGCCAGGGTCTTGGCTGAGCTTGTGCGCTCGAGGGGCTGGGGTATGCAGGCGGGAGGCGATGACTCACAGTGAAGCGTGGCCAAGTGCGTAGCAGGTTGAAGAGCGCGTCGCCTGGGCAAGAGGTGCTCACAAGCTGGCGGTGGCCAAGCACCTTGTAGTCGGGTCGCAGATAACCGGCGCGCATGGCGCATCGCGGGAGCTCTTCGCGCACAGTTCGGAGCGCCGCCTCGGTGGGCAGCTCTGCCGTGTAGTTACCCACGAAGGCCACTCCGAAGCCTCGGGAATTGTAGCCGCGCGTGTGTGCGCCCACGCGGTGCCAGCCGCGGCCCTCATACACGTAGCCGTCGGAGCCCACCACGAAACTAAGGAGCGGAGGAGCCAGAGGTACCACGTAGAGTCAGGGAGGGCTGACCCCAGACTCTGCCTGAGCCGGAATCCACACGTTTAAAGTTCGGTCCCAGCACTCTAGTTCTACGCTGTCCTGACCCGCCCCCTCGCGGATCTGCAGGTCTTGTGGCTCCACCCTTCAGCTTTGGCCATGTCGTTTACTCCCGCCCAGTTCAAACCCCACTTCTGCCAGGATCACGTTCTATCACTACCCTATCTCAGTTCACCCACAGGTCCTGCCCCTTCTCTCAGGTCCCTCCTCTTGCCCTAGTTCCCTCCCTCAAGCCCAGCATCGCGTAGTATAGTGATTTCGGATCCCTCTTAAGGTTCCACATCCATTATATGACCATGTCCTCTTCACCTTGCCCCCATTCACTTTCAATTTGCTCCTCTGCCTTGTCAGCTAGATTCCGTCCAAGCCCCGCCCCTCCACCAGGTCCCGCTCACAAACCCTCCGCCCAGCCTGCCCGCCCGGGGGCCCTACCCACCTATAGCCGATGTCATCCCAGCCCCTGGTTTTCTGGTGGAAGCGCTGCATGGAGCGCATGTTGTCAGAGCAGTGAACGAAATCGGTGCAGGGCAACTTGGGTATATACGTGTGATGCACATACAAGAAGCCGAGTGGCAGCTTCAGCGGCGTCGGTTGTCCCACATAGGGCTCTGGATTCCAGCGGCAGCGAGGGTGGATGGCGGGGCATTCTGGAAGGAGATGCAGGGCTAGCGTCAGCATGAGCTTTCCCATCTGTTGCTTGCACACCCCTGCCAGATTTAGGGTGAATGTAACTCACCCCGCATGGGTAACTACCTCTAACCATGTCCCCAAACCGTTTGAACTGCAAGGTTGGCGGTTCAAGCTCACCAGCTGCTCCTTGGAAACCCTATACAGGGTCGCTATGGGTCGGAGCCGACTCGATGGCACTTAACTACAACAAACTGTGACCTGTTCAGAAATCGACTATGACTTTCACAACCTCCATAATAAAATCCAAGGCTTTTAGCTCAACTTTCAAGGCCCTTTACAACCCAGGATTGAACGCTATTTTTGGCTTTTCCTGCCCTGAGTCCTAGGGGCAGCCACACTTAGAAAAGAAGAATCTTATTAAACCATCCAACAAGTCTAAGCGATAGTAAGGATTGAGCACCTTATTCCCTGTGCCTCTATCCTGTTTAACTAAAGATTGTTCAGAGAAGTGTAGTGACTATACTAAAGTAGCACAGGGAGTAACTGGCTGAACTTGTATTCAAGACCAGTGTCCAAGTTTGGTCTCTGCTGGATTACCCTGAATTCTGCATAGCTGAGTCCACTGCTTGGAATGCCCTTCTTTCTCACTTTTCTGTCAGATGAACTCCTATTCATCCCTCAACACCCAATGATAGTTTAGTACCTTCCCCAGCCCCCCAGGCAGAGCTGGACTCCCTCAGTCCTGGATCCCCTGACCACATGTGAGGGTGAGAGGGTAAGAGGGGCTTCTTACCCAGGAAAACCTCGGTGAACTCTTTGGTGGCATGGCTGGCCACTTGAGCCAGCTGATCTCCGCTCATTCCATGCAGCTGGGGGTGTGCGGACTCCAGTCTCTGCAGCAGTAGGAGGGTCCCCCATATCTCCTGGGTCAAGGTGGGGGCTGAGGTCAGGACAGCCCCATTCTGCCGTCGGAAGTTGCTTCGGAGCTCTGGCTCTCCAGCCACACCAGCACCATAGTATTGGCTCAGCAGGAGGCTGAGGGGTGGCTTGGGTTCAGGGGTCTGACTCAGGTAGTCTCCCAAGAGGGCCCCATCCAGGGCACCATTAAGGAAGGCCGTGGTGAGTGGCGAGGCTTTGCGGTCCAAGAGGGTGAAGGTCTGGGGAGCATTCAACTTGTCCCAACAGCCCTCAGTTCCCAGAACAGGATGGTTCTGGGTCTGGAGGTCCTGAAGAAAGGTGAGGCCCAGGTCTCTGGCCAGAGTGACGGCTAAGAGGCTGTCCACACTGGTGGGCAACGTGGCTTTGGTATCTGGTGAGGTGGCTTCCACATCTGGAGAGATAACTTTGAATTCTGGAGAAGTGGCTCTTACCTCTGAAACGGTAACTCTAATATTTGGAAAGGTGTTTCCTGTATTTCCAGGTGGGGCAGTGTTATTCAAGGGCAAGTTCACCACCCTGCGCCCTAGCAGCCCCGCCTGCAGTCCAGCCAGCAGCGGTTGCACAGCCACAGTTGAGCCATCCGGTGCTAGCACTACCCCATACTCCTGCCCATCCCGTACACCATGCTGAGCTACTTTCTCCATTAGATCTTGAAGTTCTGGGCTCAGTAAGAGGGGATCCAGTTTGATGTCCTTGAGGCCTTGCCCCTCTAGCAGGAAGCTATGGAAAAGGTCACTGGGGCTAGTGTCCTGGGCTGACAGCAGCCACGCTGAGGCTTTAGGTCTGGCTTCAGTTGCCGGTGCCTTCTGTTCAAACTCACCCAGGGCCTGGATGACGAAGTCCATGAGTAGCGGATAGGAGGCTATGAGGGATAGGGGAAGCTGTTAGCCCAGTGAGCCAATCCTTCCCTCCCTAAATCTCCCCACAACTGCACACTTTCTCAATGCTTCCATCCAGCAGCCTTGTGACCCCTAACACTGTCTTTGTATCGATGAGGAAACCGAAGCACACAGACAATGAGTGTTCAGGACTTGGATTAAGGAACTTGAATTGTCTGTGAGTACTAGGGAGCCATAGCAGGATTATGGGCAGTTGAGGGATATCCTAAGAATGTTCCTTTGGTTGCTATGGAGAACGGACTTTTGGGGGGCTAGAACAGAAAAGGGAAAACAGTGTGGAGATAAGAAATAAAGGGTAGGAGTCATGGGATGGAAGGGAGAGGGCTGCATCTACAGATGTATAGGAGAAAAGATGAGCAGTTTTTGGTGATGAACTGGATTTGGGGGAGTTTAGAGAGAAAGGGGTCTTGAAGGATGCCTAGGGGGAGGAGCAGGTTGAGCCTGAGCCTTCCTGGGGCAAATGTCAGTGATTGACACAAAAGTACTGGACCTAGAACTGGGACTTAGTAGAGTCTTGGGTGGTGCAAACAGTTAACGTTGGAGGTTCAAGTCCATCCAGAGGTGCCGCTGAAGAAAGACTTGTCAATCCATTTAAAAAAAACCAGTCACCGAAAACTCTATGGAGCCCAGTTCTATTCTGACACGCACGGGATCACCAGGAGTTGGAATAAGCTCAGTGACAACCAGTTTGTGTTGAACAACAGCTAGCATTACTAAACTGGTGCCAGAAGTGACTTATAGTATTTAAGTCATTTGATCTTTACAACAACCTTATGTGGGTGGGTCATTTTACCTCAGACACAGAGAGGCTAAGTTACCTGCCTGAGGTCAGACAGCCAGGAAGTGGTAGAGCTAGGATTTGAACCCAAGAAGGCTTCATCCCATACTCTGCTGCATAGAAAATCTGCAGATAGTCCATATTGTAATTTCTTTAAACTTTTGCTCTTCCTGCTTCTCTACCCAGCAAAATTCTCCTCCTTCTCCTATCCTAGCTGTATAAGTCCTAGCCCTCCTTGTCTTTGCTTCTCCAACCCCAGGTCCCTCCCATACCCTGACCTGGTCCTAATGGACTGGCAACATCTATATGCCCAGCATGGAGATTCCTGGAAGGCTGGAGCCAGTCTTGTAATTTCTGGCCTTGCTCTCATCAAGTTTGACACAGAAGGGTAGCAGTACATTTCTGCTGAACTGAGAATCCCTGCCCAGGCATCTGCCCTCTGACCCACCTGTCCCAGGCTCCGGACACAATAGCAAGCCAAGCAGGATCCAGAGAATACCTTGGGCCACCATTATGGGGTTCCAGCTTCCAGGTGGGTTGTTCTAATTGGCCTCAGTGGAAGTTCAGCCCTGCTGGAAGGACACAGACAGAGAGAACAGAGCAGGGCCTTTGGCCACGGTCAAAGTCCAGGGTGAATGATTTGCTGCCCCTTTGCAGAACTGTGGGCGGGAGGAGGTGGGGGAAGGGAGCCTGAGGTCAAGGTTACCCTGGCCTCAAATTCTTCCTCATCTAGTCCTGTTCCTCCCAGACTGAGGTTAAGTAGGGGAAGCCCATTGCAGGAGGGGCTGGAGGCCAGACAGTTCAGATTCTAGCAAACTCTGCCCATTCCCAGGAGAGGTAGACTGAGGCTGATCCATCAAGTCTTGAACTCCCCAGTGGTGACAGCTTTATAGTTCCCAGGTCCCTGCTGGACTAGTCAGACTGGCTGTGTTGGGAAGGGTGAGAAGAGAAGGCCTAGAAGTCAGCTCCTCCTCTTGGCTTCTTTGAACTCCAGGTTCAGCAGGGTCCAGGTCCTCACTGAGGCCCACTTGAGCTCATGGGGACCAGCAGCTGCCACCACACTGACCCACTTCTAGCTCTGTCCTTAAACAACAGAAGACAGCTACAAGTAGGGATAAGGCTCAGCACCCAGGGCCCTGGTTCTGGACTCACCTGGGTTGATAGTGAGGGGCTGTCCTCTTTCACGGGTGCCTTATGCCAAGTCGCCAGAGCAATGTTCCAGCCTCCCCTTTATTCTAGCATCAGGCGTGGCCGATGTGGCTGGGATTGTCGTGCACATTACTTCACTGTGGGCCTCCCACCCTGAAACTTGCTTGGGGAGTTTCCAGAAGACCCACCAGCCTGGGGATTTAGCATGGGGCGGGCCCTGGGTGAGCTGGGAATGTCCTGATGAGCCAGACCTGGGATTTCCCAGGGGCCACCACTGAAGCACAGTGCTGTATACACTGTGGGGACTTAAGGGCAGGGGAGTGAGTGAGGGATGGAGGGAGTGGGGGGCCACACCCCAGAGGGAAGAGGGAAAATCCTCCTCTAAGCTTGCGTTTCAGGGAGTCCCGGTGTGGTGCTGTGGGTTAATGCACTGGACTGCAAAGTTGGTTTGAACTGTAAGGTTGGCGGTTCAAGTTCATTAGCTGCTTCTCGGAAACCTCATACAGGGTCACTATGGGTTGGAACTGACTTGATGGCCCTTAAACAACAACAAGAAGCTTGAGTTTCCCAGGCCTTAGGGTTGGGGACTCTGCTGTCAAACCCGGGGAGGATGCAGGCTGTATATCCTTCTGAGGCAGGGGCCAGGGTAAGCAGAGCCAAGCATTTGTCATGGACATGCCCAAAAAAGGTAATATTATAAGTCTCAGTCATTGAGAGAATTCATATATACATTATATAAAAATGTTTTAATGCAATATTAAAAAATCAAAATAAATACAAAAAGCCCACGAAGTATAAAATATCAATAATTTAAATAAAGATAGGATTAGTAATAACCCAAAATACTTACCCAGTGTTGGGAGGAGGGTGAAGGAAGTGAACCCTTAAATCGAAGGCGGCACCAAAAACTCAGCCATCAAGATAAATAATACTTTAATACAATGAAATAAATAAAAACGAATGCAACAAGTCCATGATGTATAAAATACCAACAATTTAAACATAGTATTAGTAATAGCATTGTGCCAAGCTTTACGGTAGCTGGAACGAAAAAAAAAAGGATCAGAAATTCGAATCCTGTCTTTGTAGCCCATTTGTCTCTCTCTAGTCCCAGCCCCACATCCACCAAGGTGGAATCCCAGGAGTCGAAGGATGACTGTGAACAGAGATCCTCATCTGGGACCCACCCGGTCATGATTTAGCTTCGTGAACCCTGGTTTGTCTCTTTGCTTCCACTACCAACTGGGAATGTGGGGGATCCTTGTACTTATATTTGATCATCTATTTATCCTCATTTTACCCATCAGGAGGCTGAGCTCAGAGAGGTTAAGTAACTTGCCCAAGATCACACAGCTAGAACTGTGCCATGGCCAGCCTAGGCCAGGGTCAAGGTCAGGGTCAGAGTAATTATGACCCTTCACATTAAGGAGGTATTTGCAGGCTGGAGATTCATAGACCAGTCAGACAGACAGATTTTATCTCCTTTTAGGTGAGAAGTAGGGCTATTTCCCTGTTGTCAAGTCGATCAGACACATGGTGACTATGTGTTACGTAGTAGAGCTGAGAGCTTCATGGTTTTTTTTTGGGAGTAATCTTTATAGGGACTCTTGGTGTAGGATCAGCACTGGACTTCAAACCACAAGGTCAACAGTTCAAACTCACCAGTTGCTCCTCAGAAACCCAGAACCTTTTTCTGCCAACATTTATAACATCATTCGCAGGCCATACAAAACTATTGTCTTTAAAATTAGTCTGCTAGGGAGATTATAATCATTGCAATGAAACAATGAGTGTAAAACTGATGTTTCCCCATGTAAATATCACTCAATTCACAATAAAAATTAAAGAAAAAAATTAGCGTGCTGTATTTGGTCAAACATTTAATTAACTCAACCCTAATGTGATGGTTGGAACTGTGGTTGCTTTGGCAGGCAAGACCAAATTAATTTTTCCAAGGAAACCCTATACATGGTCTCTATGAGTTGGTACCAACTTGAAGGCGTTTAACAACAGTCTTTATAGATGGTCCCTGGGTAGTGTTAATGGTTTGAATTTGACTACTACCTAAAGGTTGATGGTTTGAATTTACCTGGAGGGGCCACAGAATAAAAGGTCTGGTGATCTGTTTCTGTAAAGATTACAACTAAGAAAACTTTATGGAGCTCAGTTCTACTCTGTAGCCCATGGGATCACCACGAGTCAGAATCAACTTGAAGACAATGGTGCTTTTCTCCCACTTAATCTTTATGGAAGCAGATCACTAGGCCCTCTGTGGCTCCTCTGCGTGGATTAGAACCACCAACCTTTAGAATAGTAGCTGAACACTTAATCATTTGCACCATCCAGGAACTCTGGAGTCAGGTTAGAGGCTGGGATTAGAGCAGAGCCTTCAGTCCCAGGATAGGACATTGGTGGGGAACATTTCTCTTAGGGTCTCTCTAGGATTTGTGGCCTTCTGGGGCAAGGCCTCACCTTCAGGAAGCCTCCTTGATTGCCCCTAGCTTCCTGCTCCACATCCTGGCTCCCTAGCCCCAATCTCTTTCCTTTGACCCAGGTCTCTATGTGCAGTGCTGTGAGTTTCCCAGGGTGGCTCGGAGTTCCTCAATCTAGGAGAAGCAGGGTCTACTTGTTGTTGTTGTTAGGTGCCATCGAGTCGGTACTGACTCATAGTGACCCTATACACAACAGAACGAAACACCGCCTGACCCTGGGCCAACCTCACTACTGTTGCCACGCTTGAGCCCATAGATGCTGCCACTTGGCCAGTCCATCTTGTTGGGGGTCTTCCTCTTTTTCTCT